TTTCACATATCAGCAGTGAACTGTTTTAGTTCCCTGAAGAAGACATGCATAGTGCCAGGTCAGACGATGGTCAGAGAAAGATGTGAAGCAGAGCTGAAGCCACCAGTATTCAGGACACTGTTGGCCCTGAGTGGTGCTTCCAGAGCTGAAAGGGTGAAGTCCACCAGGCCATGGTCTTAGACCCAGATGGGTGATGGGACTTGCCCAAGTTAATAAGGGGCGCAGCCAGGATTCAAATCCAGCTCTCCTGATCTCACATCAGATTGTCATCCCATTTTACCAGCTGCCTCTCACCACATGGAGTAGATGATGCGACACTCGCTCTGAGTTTCCATGCAGAAATTTAAAAAGTGCTTAGCGCAATGCCTGGCATCATAGAGAAGGTGCCTAATAGTGCTTCTTTTTCCCTTCCCATTTTCAGATACTCATTTTACAAGAGCACTTTTTTTTTTCACGTAGATGATGGGGGTATTCCAATCTAATGCTGGGTAGCTGGTAACTTTTCATTATATTGGCTGAATCTGACTAGTGATGAGACAAGGAAGGATATCTTCCTATTTGCCTAGAGCCTGAACCACAGTAAGTCATGAATAAGCACAATGTCGCACAGAGAAGTTACATTTTATTCCCATTCAATATGGCTTTATTGCATGCAATTTCACATTTAAACTAATTGAATTGTAGCCAAAATGAAAATAAACCCAAAAGATCATTTCTCAGGAGGTATTGGCTCAATTCATTTGTTTCTAAGCTTTTGGGGAGTATGGCTTAATCATGTGTCCCATAAGCCATTAAAACAATATTCTTTTTAAGCAAATTCTCTCATATTCTTTAGGTGACTGGTGAGTTGACATTACATTATTTTCTCCATATTTCTTAATATACAGATACACTGAAACTGACTCTTTGGTGGCTCTAACGAGCATCGTAATGCTGGAATGTATTTGAAGTTTCTCTTTTTAGTGCCCTCCATAGTTTTATGAACAGAATTTAATTTTATTCATTGTTTGAAATTAGGCATAGTATTTCTAGTAGATTTAGGACTGGCTGCAGAGTTAGAAAGATCTGGGTTCAGGTCCTGCCTCTGACCTGTACTGGCTCTGTAATCCCTGGCAAATCACTCATCATGTTGGTACTTCCAGCTATTTGGTCATTTCAGTCAGTTCCAACTTTCCGTGACCCCATTGGGGGTTTTCTTGACCGAGATCCTGGATTGATTTGTCATTTTACAAATGAAGAAACTGAGGCAAACAACACATCCAAGCTTCTAAATTACAGAGCAGTTGCTGATGCGCATTAATAGAGAGATTTTCTCATCAGAAATTCCTTATGCTGATGAAATTACCTTTGGTTTTTAAAAATATGCATATTTGAAACTTGTGTGTATTAGGGATCGTTTTTAAGGGGATTGAATCAGAATTAGGGAATTGTGTATTTCAAAGACATTAAAGATGTAGGCATACCTGTGCGTATATACTTGTATATGGCATATACATATGTATGTATATATGTATGTGTGTATACATACAGTATGTCTGTAGTAATTCGACATGCCTAAATATGTTCATTCCACTAACATGTGATTTCATCAGGATAGAGGACTCTCAGTGTAGAAACTGCAGATCTGCAACTTATAACTTATAGTCTTAGAGACTTGCCGTTATATATCATATGCAAGACTTGAACCCAGGTCTTCTTAAATCCTAACCCAGCTTGTTATCCTCTACCCCACATAGTTTTTCAAATCACCAGTTTGAGCCAAAAAAAAAGTCATTCAGGAAACTGCATGATGTTAATTACCATGCTGAGTGGTAATAGAACAAAGGCAGTCTTCCTGCCCTCATTTAGCTTACATCCTAGTTTGGGGATAAAGCACAAACACAGGTAGGTGTGTGTGTGTGTGTGTGTGTGTGTGTGTGTGTGTGTGTGTGTACAATGATTTGTATTTATTAATCATTAATATTTTATTGATAAGCATTCATTAAGTGATTATTATAAGCTAGTTATGGTACTATTGGGGTATGTGTCTTTTATCTGTATCCTCAGCTCCTCGCATAGTACCTGGCACACAATAAACATTTAATGAACATTTGTTGATTTTATTTATAGATAGTGTTTTTTGTTTGTTTGTTTGTTTGTTTTTTGGCAAGGCACTTGGGTTGAGTGACTTGTCCAAGGTCACACAGCTAGTAAATGTGAAGTGTCTGAAGCCGTATTGGAACTCAGATCCTCCTGACCCCAGGGCTGGTGCTCTATTCACTGTGCTACCCAACTTCTCCACATTCATGGGGAGGTTGCTTTGTTTTGCTGTGGAGGCAACCAGGATTAAGTGACTTACTCAGGGTCATGCATCTAGTAAGTGTCTGAGGCTGGATTTAAACTCAGGTCCTCCTGAATGCATACTTACACACACACACATACACACACACACACACACACACACACACATGAGAGAGAGAGAGAGAGAGAGAGAGAGAGAGAGAGAGAGAGAGAGAGAGAGTGTCAGACAGACATGTTTGTTTTTTATCCCCAAACCAGAGGGTAAGCTCTGAGGGCAGGAATTGTACTTTATGTTAATTTTCTATATACAGCATAAATGAAAAGTGAATAAATACATATACAGAGCAATTAAATAAAAGTAGTTTGGCTGAGAGGAAACAAGGTTGAGGAGAATCATGCAGAAGGTGGTGCTTGGGGTCTGTGGCAGGGATTCTGTGAGGTAGAGGTGAGGTAGAAGTCCATTCCAAGGATGAGGTACAGCCAGCTCAAAGCCTGAAGTATGAGGATTATAGTGTTGTGTGTGAGGAGCAAGAAGGGTAGTTTGGCTGGATTGATCACTGAGGGTGGGAGGGGGAGCACTGCCCGGTAATACTGGAAAGAGGTCAGAGGCCAGGGCACAATGCACTCTAAAAGCTAAACAGCGTCGTCTTTTTACATACATTTGTGTATAAAGATGTGTGTACATACACAAACACATATGTACCTGTGTATATGTACAAATACACAACTGAAGCCTGCGTTATCTTTGTCACTTTTCTCTTCCTCACCTCTTATATCCCAATAGTTAGTAAATCCCATAGACGTTTCAGTCTTTGGCAACCTTCCTCCAGGCCCTCAATACCACCTGCTATTGCTCTAGCATCCTTCTCAGTTCATTCATCTTCAGTCTCTTCAAACTAATCCTTCTGCTGTGACCTTTACTTTCCTGCCTATGGGCTTCAGCTCGTCATGTCCTTCTTTCCACTCTACCTGTTGAATTGCTCCCCATTCTTTAAAACCTAAGTCAGTGCCACATCTTCCAGGAAGCTTTCCCCAGTTTCCTGTAGCATCTCACAAAGTGATTTTTTAATAACTCTTAATAAATGTGTGCATATACATATATATGTATATGTATTTGTACACATATATGTATATTTGTGTATGTATATGATAGCAAGGTAGTACACAGTAGTTAGAATGTTGGGCTTGGAGTCAGAAAGATTGAGTTCAAATATGGCCTCAGATACTTAATATCTATGTGACACTGGGCAAGTTTCTCAACTTTCTTACCTCAGTTTCCTCATCTGTAAGATGAGAATAATGATAGCACTTACCTCCCAGAGTAGTTGTGAGGACCAAATGAGACAATAATTGTAAAATGCTTAGCACAATGCCTGGCACATAGTAAGCACTGTATAATTGTTTTCATATGCATATATACACACATATAAATATGAATATGTATTGTTATGCAGTACCTATCTATATGTATTACATGCTACACATATGTGTGACATACATGACTGCATGGGTACACATGCATGCTATGGAAATTATACATTTGTGGTCATGTTAGGCTATATATGCACTGTGCATATGTGTTTATATATTTTTTTAAAAGTATATCCATTAGATTGCCAAGGGTAAAAGTATAGAGAGAAGAAAAGAGAACCAAGGTTCTGACCTTGGGTAATATATACCTTAAGGGACTGAGAAGGGTACATGCAGCTAATGGGGGACATAGAGAAAGAAGATTCAATTACAGAAGTTGGGGGAAAAAATGAGTGTCATGTCGCCGGTCAAGAGAAGAGAGAAGGAACTAATAGGAGAAGGTATTCTTTAGTGCCACAAGCTTTCCATAGGTCTGAGAGGATGAGGACTGAAAAGAGGTTACAGCGTTTGATGACTGTGCTATTAGTGACAATTGAGAAAGCAGTTTCAGTAGTGTGTTGAGAAGAGCATCCAGATTGTACCAAGGCCTGAAATTCTGGGTTTTGCGCTCGTTGTTTTTTTCTGTACTTCATCTAAGTGTCTTACGGGGTTTTTCTTTGTTCATTCATTCATTCATTCATTCATTCATTCATTCATTCATTCATTCATTCATCTATTCATTTATTCAAGAGATGTTTAAGCAATTGCTCTGTTTAAGGCATCAGAAGTAGTACCTTTCCTTTGTTCAGGGCTTGAAAAGTTATGAAACATCTAAACATCTATTACCTCCTTTGATCCCTTTATGGGATCACCTTTAAGCTACCAGGTCTGTAGCTCTAATCTTTATTATTAATTCTGAATTTGAAACATAAATTCACATATTCTTATCTGGACTATTTAGCATACGTACTTGATTCTTAGCTAACAACCAATCATATCTCTATCTACAATTTGATTCACATATTTCCATTTTTGTAAGGCTTTGAAGAAAAATGACCAGATCAGAAGCCTTTTCACTTAAAATGTAAGTGAGTTATAATAAATATCAATATCAATAATAAGCAATATATGTTTGTCTGGATGGATTGTTGAAATATAAGATAATAATAATAACAAATATATATATATATATATATAGAGAGAGAGAGAGAGAGAGAGATTCAAATGGCTTCTTAACTTCCTTTTTATATTTCAGAATTGTGACTCACTGTAACGTGGAGACTTATGGTCCCTTATGTTAGTTTGACTAACCAGAGATCACTTGGTAAACCAACCCCTCAAATGATGAATTTCTTTGTTCCTCTGCCCAGGAAGAAGATGAAGTTCCTGATGATGAGACCCTGAATCAAATGATTGCCCGACGAGAAGAGGAATTTGATCTTTTTATGGTAATGTTGCAAAAATAATTAAAATGTAAAATTACTGATTCCTGTGTTGTTCCTATAAAAAACAAAGGTTTAGTTTAGAGCTAAGTGAACCTGACAGCTCCTGTTACAAAATCTGTATTTCATTCTCTAGTAGGTCACTTACTAGAGCAAAATAAATGTTCTCTCTTGGAAAAAAAAAATTTGCCATGCGAGCACTGTTAATCTTAAAATATAGTTAGTGTGTTGCAGTTTTCATTTAGTGATCAAAACTTAGAATAACTTAATTACAAATTAATCAACTTCAAATTGTGACTTGGATCTTCTGTGATTTTTCTTTTTAAGTCATTTGCCTCTCTATCATTCTTCAGTTTTTCAGAAGACTTTTCCATAAACAAACTTCATATTTCAGCTACAGGCTTATTTTCCCATTATCCCCAAAGACTCTTCATTGATACATTTGGCTTCTAGGAGTCATCAATAATCAGAGAATACCTCACATATTGTAAATTCTTTTGATGGTTATTAATTGATAACAAAATATAAAAAAAAAGTAAGATCTTGGGTTTTACAACGCAGTAGTTTATTGACCTATAAACCTAGCTCTTTGGAACAGTGACAACGCTTAAAAGTTATGGAAAAGTCCTTTAAAGTCCTTCCTCACACTACCCCCACCCACCTCAATTGCTTTGCAGTGAAATGGGAAAGTGTAAGAATGATGGGTTACACATGTATAAATGGCAGTTGAAGATGACAAGTTTTACTAGTTTACCACACACTGCCTGATGATTAAACACTCAAGTGAATCACTGCAAAGCCATGATAGAGGTTAGTGAATAATGACAAGTAGCTTTTTGTCATGTGCAGTGTGGATATTGAAGGCTATTCCCTAGAGGCTTACATTATTTGTGTTATTTAATTAGCACTGACCTTGCTCATATTCAGCGTTAAATACAAGAGCTACAATTCTTGCCAAGAGGCTGCAGAATAGGTAACTACTTTGTTAACTTAGAGGTTAATTTCTCTTTCTTTCTTTCTCTTTCTTTCTTTCTTTCTTTCTTTCTTTCTTTCTTTCTTTCTTTCTTTCTTTCTTTTCTTTCTTTCTTTCTTCTTTCTTTCTTTCTCTTTTCTTTCTTTCTTTCTTTCTTTCTTTCTTTCTTTCTTCCTTCCTTCCTTCCTTCCTTCCTTCCTTCCTTCCTTCCTTCACTGTGGTTCAGAGGTGCCCTGAGGTACTTTAAGGCTATGCTAGTAGAACTCCATGTTCTACCATGCAGGAATGACCTTGTCATCCCAGTAACAGATCACAGCTGTGGTACAAGAGCCAGCCAAGCTAAGTATCAAGAGGCTTATCACCAGTAGCCAGGCAATTTTGTCATGGATTCTTTGGCCATGGGAACCCATGTTACAAACAAAAATACAGCATGAAGACCATTGATCATTTACCACCATCTTTTCCAGATCCTGATGTAGATAAATTCTTATGACTAACTTTATAAGACCCTCCAAATTCAGTCAACACATACTTTAATACTTAGTGATGTCAATTCACTGGATGTAGGGGAGAATGGTGAAAAATCTGTTGGATGATATTGTTCAAAAGTAAGAAAGGAGAAAGGCCCAAGGCATGCACGAACCTCGGAGTTATATAGGATCAAAGGAAATAAAATACATAAAGCTCTTTGCAAACATTAAAGCACTCTATAAATGCCATCTATCATTATTATATGTTGTGAAGACTTACATCAGGAAGAAAGTCAAAAGGTTCTTAAAAACATAAATACCTAACAATATAAAAAATGAAATTTATTTATCCTAACAATCAGTAAATGACAGGTTACAGATTAGAGAGTTTTTCCACAGTAGCTGTCCCTGTAGTTAGGCAGTCAATTATGAAAGCAGAAACCAAAGTTGATACCAAAATTAGATGGACATAAGAAAATATGATATATAATCGAGAGCTACAATTGTTTTTTGAAACAAACTGTTGAGCCTACAAAACAGGAAATGAAAAACAAGAGCCACTTACATGCACTATCACATTAGCCTTAGTAAATTGGGCATCATTCTCCACAAGGAGCCCCAAAACCCCACAAAACTGCCTCAGACATCAAATGATCCTTCTTCTTTCCATTGGCTGTGACCATGGGAGCAACGCATTAATAAAATTCTAACATCACAGCCTTCAATATGCAGCATAAGGAAGTAGAAATGTCACTATAGAAAACAAAGATAAGAAATGCAGCTTGACCAGACTGAGCATAAACAGAGGAGGTCTCTGCTAACAGGGATACAGTATTGAGGGCATTGAAGAATCAATATCAAGAAATCTGAAAGATGAGAAGATACTACATGCTTTGGGGGAAGAAAATTATTGCTCTTAAAGGGCTATTCAAACAAACAATAATCAATGACCTATATGCCTACTTTGCTCTCTCTACAAAGTCTTCTTGAGAATAATCTGACCTACATTTTTAGAGCATCCTTAATGATGGTAAATGGAGATTTTTATTTTTTGGTCTTGTGCAAGGTATGTTCTACAGGAGACCTATATCTGAAAGGTTCAGAGAACTCAAAAACCCTGATGGTTTTACTGACTATAAAAAAGCATTTGATTCAGTACAGCACACTGCCACCTTAAAGGGTCTTCTCTAACAAGGCACTTTAACATATGTGTGTGTGTATGTTTATATTAGGATCATACAAGATTACTTGAAAGAAATAATAAGAGATCATTTAATCTACCTCTGATTATTAACATCAAACACTAAGTAAGACAGAGAAACATATGGTCATCAAAGTAGTTTGACATTGTCATGGAGGATAACTAGGACAGATTCCAAAAGGAGGAGAGATTGCCTATTATGATGAGGTCTTCCAGATGTTTTACTGATTACATCAAGGCCCTAAACCCCACAAAGGCAAAAACAATCTATAATTGCTCAAGAATTTAAGCTATCTGTACACATGGAAAGAAGGATTGGATGAAAAATACATATTTATTGTTCAGTTGCAGTTGGATGGATAACTCATAGTTGGTACATTAGTACATACATATTTATAGATATGTAAATGGACAATGAATTGCTCCTAGAACAACCTAGAAGAGTAGTAAGAAAGTGGACTGCATCATAGTTGGGAAATTATTCGGTACTTTTAATAACCCCAGGCCTCCTCTAAGACAAACACCCACATCTTCTTAACATCAGTATCAGCATGCTAATACTGCATGGTTGTGAGTAATGGAACGCCAAAGTCGGTGAAGAATTAAAGTTATGGTTCATGCAAACAGGAATGGAGAAGCACGTGGTGGGTGTGACTGGGCTGCTACATAGTACCAATATAAAATTGTGCAGGACAACTGGCATCACGGATTGCATTGTGGTGATGTATGACTGAAAAAAGCAAGTGTACTAATTATGTAGCCAGAGTGAATTGCTTCTTATTTTATACGTGCAATCAGTTCTGAAAAGAAGATAGCACTGGATTACTAGTCAACAATTGGTCTAGTCCCAATGGGACTTGCTATGCAGTCACCCAAAAAAGGGTAGAAGAACCAACATGTGGGTTGTTGTTTGGTTTTTTTTTTGGCCCAACAAGAGAGACAGAGAGGGCTTACTTAGACAAAGAGCCAAAGTGACTGTAGAAAACCTGTCTTAAAATACTACCCACTACTGATTAAGTCAGGTCACCTGTGAAGAACCAGGCTTGCTCCTCCTCATCTAGAGGCAGGAGACTACATATATACATATACATTTTTACATTACACACACTGCCAGATTAAAAGGGCAGTGGAGATCTCAAACCCAACCTTTTCCAAAGATCAGGTTAGTTTTGAATCAAGGAAGCCCTGCCCTTAAACTGAAAGTTGCCTCTTTAGTACAGTTAATATGACTCATTGGGGCCCACTTTCCTGACTGGAGCTTAGTGGGGGAAGGGAAGGGTATTGTGCCCTTCTGCTCTTTGCAAACAGCTAAATAGCAAATGGGTACCAGCTGTTGATTATAACATCTCCAATCACAGCTAAGCAGACAGTCTCCTGACACTACAAGGAAGGGGAATTTTTAACAAGAGGTAAAGATGTCATTGTTGAGTGTGTATGGACTTAGGGCAGTTTAACAAGCAAGTAAAAACTTTTGCAGTGCCCCCCACCCCTTTTAGGTTACTGCCTTATATATTCAGAGACTGTCTCACTTATAGATTATCCAGAGTTTTGCTTCAGCTTTTCACTGTAGCCTACGAGCTATCTTTTGCCCAGTTTTATTAGTTCATTAGCATCTCCACCAGAGGACAAAGAAATAAAATGTGGTGACTTGTCAGCACCTATGGTGAAGGGAAAAGAGCAAACTCTGACTAAAACAAATACTGGTATTACTTAGAGATGTCAATAATGTTGCCTTTATCTCATTTAAAATCAATTATATATTCAGAACACTCATGCACACAGATGCATGGTTACTCATTTATATCTTTAGTTGTCTCTCGTACATATATGTAGATAATAAGATAGTTACTTTCTAAAAAAAACCTTTTCTACATATTTTTTCTCTTCTGTTTCTGAAAGGTGATTTAAACAACTGCTTATTCCATGCTGATTATTCAGATGTTGATTTTCCAGAAATTATGTTTTCCACCTAGGGCAAGAAAAATACATATTTCATAATTGGTTTGTTGGTCTAAAATTTATAGCCCAGCCAGGAAAGATATGGTTTTTTTTTACCTTGAAAGTTAGGGGGGAAAGTTCTGATTATTAACTGCTAATAACTGACTCAAAATTCTCTTGTTCTAGATAACTTGGATGGTAATTTGAATATATATGCATACTATACATGCATACATATTCTAGATTGAATTTTATTGGGAGAAAAAGGTACCAATTAGGTACTTAAATTCATGCCAGTAAACTGTATCTTCTATCTTTAACACAACGAAACTAGAAATCATTTTATTTTCCCTTTCAATAAAAAGTTTGAATGCATTTATTCTCACAACTATGAAAAAAATTAAATCTTTACTCATTTTATTATGATTGGTCTAGAGCAAGCCTTTCCAAACTTCTCAGTCCTCAGCACATCCCTTGGTTTTCAGGAACCCTTCCCCCATAATCTCTCTTCGGTATGAAAGGAAATAATTTCATCATGTATCGTGCATTTACACATAAGCAATAGAGAGAATAATATTCATAAAGAAAATTTTATTCAGGCCACAGCTCACTAATACTATACCACTTCTGGAATATTTCAGTAGGATAATATACATTCTCCATAACCCCTTGACAGGCTTATTGTATCTCCTGTTGTGAACCCCTGGTCTAGAGAATCATAACAGTATAATATAAAAGTAGCATCATCATATTTTATCTCATTTTGGTATCATATTTTAAAATAAATTGTTTATAAGGCCACCAACAGTTTTGAAGTTACCATGTATGGAACTTCTTTGTAGGTACCACAATATAAGAAGGAATGAGCATTAATCTTCTGTTTCTTACCTGTTGATACCACAATATAAGAAGGAATGAGCATTAATCTTCTGTTTCTTACCTGTTGAAACACAGTATCATCTAACAGTAGACAATTAGGAAATAATACTAGAAACTTCTACATAGACTGTCAGTGTTATATGACCCATATGATGGCCAAATCTGTGTCATAATGAAGTTCTATTATACTTACCACAATCAAATGTCCCAGATTTTCTAAAATAGATTTGATTTCAGGAAAAGAATATACACTTTTTTGGCAAGGCAATTGGGGTTAAGTGACTTGCCCAGGGTCACTCAGCTAGTGAATGTCATATGTCTGAGGCCAGTTTTGAACTCAGGTCCTCCTGATTCCAAGGCTGATGCTCTATCCACTGAGCAACCTAGCTGCCCCAAGAATGTGCATTTCTAATGAGTTTTTGCACAAGAAATATCCTTTGTCAGACAGTATTCCCTGATTTTATATCAAAAATATGTTACTATAATACCTTTAAGTTAATGAATTTAAGACCTGCAGAAATTTAAAGATTTACCTGATAGACAGTGATGTTAATTTTTTTGAGTTTAGTGTTGGTGGTTGACTTTTGGATTCAATCTTTGAGTATTTGGAGTTTTTAATGTAATTTTGATATTAATAAAAAGTAAAACCCGTATTTCTACTTTCATAAGGATGGAATGCAGGAAATTGGGGCAAAATCATAATTCAATAATTAGTGATCCTAAATCATGTAAATATTAAACATAATTAATCCTAATATTAAGCAATGTGAGGGTAAATTCTGTGGGAAGGTTTTAGCCTGCAGAGGATACTCGGTCATTGAGTAATAGATTAAAGCCAAATGAGTAATTCAGTTGATTTAAAGACAAACTAAATTTTTAAGAGAGAATGAGGTAGGGAAATCAATAATTCAAGAATATTCATAATATGACATCTATAAAAATTGTTATAACTTGATCAATTTAGAATAAATTATCTTTGAGATCAAGATGTCTCTGATTCATACTATTTTCATTAAATGTGAAGACAACATGATGATTGAGTGGCATGCATCTCTTCACAGTGTCTAGTATAGGGCTCTGCATACTGAAGATAGTAAATAAATTGGACACAAACTATTTTTCCACCCATAAATTTCTGAATAAGCCTATGGCAATTCTGTAATGTGAAGCACGTTAAGTAATTAGATTCTTTCCAATGTTTTAATTCTGTCTCTGTAGAGAGTAATTTTATAACGAATAAAAATGCACTTCAGAAGTCTGAGAGTTTTTTTAAATTTATATCCTGAAAGGAATATTCTACTCTAGAAAAATATATTTTAATTAGTCATATCTCAAATGTATTTTAAAAAATTCATTATCTAAAGTAGATTTTACATTTTAACAAAATATAAAATTTTAGTAAAATTTAGTAAACAAATATCATTAACTGTTACTCCCATTCTTCACACAGCAGGTAAAGGGATGGAAATAGTAGCTGGTAGTGTTGTGTTAATCACATAATTTTAATCAGTGAAATAGTGTGTGTGATTTTCTTCTCGACCTTCCCTAATACTTTTGTCAATTATTATCCAGCGTATGGACATGGACCGACGCAGAGAAGATGCCCGGAACCCAAAACGCAAGCCTCGCTTGATGGAAGAAGATGAGCTGCCTTCCTGGATTATTAAAGATGATGCTGAAGTAGAAAGGCTTACCTGTGAAGAAGAGGAAGAGAAAATATTCGGCAGAGGGTCCCGCCAGCGCAGGGATGTGGACTACAGTGATGCGCTCACAGAGAAACAGTGGCTGAGGGTAAGTGTGACTTTTATCCTTTTTGTTGAATATATTGAATATATTTTGTTGAATATATATTAAACTTTCAGGATTTAAAAAAAAATTACTGGTGCATATGCATGCAGTGACCTGAGTGCTTTGAGATGACAAGTCAAATGAGCAAAATACTCTTTATTCAATATTAGTGATGATTGCCTAGAATTGCTGTGTGATTAAGTAGTAGTATTTTTTAAGCTTTTTCTGTGAGAATTTGTTACTTTTACTGAATTTTCCATTGCAAGAGCTAGAATTACTACAGCTATGATGCTGGCTAATGTTTTATTACAAGTTAATTATGCTCTACCCTCTAATACTTAGATATTCTTTAAACAGGTGTATACTTTAATCAAGATCACAGTTTGGAACAAGATAGCAGCCTGAGCCCTGCATTGTTATTTCATGTGCAATTTGTGCATTTGTGGGAAAACCAAATTTAATCAATCCAGATACAAACTAGCAGTTATTTCCTTTTGGAATATCTTCATTTCTAATTCTAACTGCTGCTGTCAATTTCACAGTACTCAGTGGAGAGCACTGAAATAACAGCAGTCTCATAAGATCTTTTTGTTTAGGATTTACAGATTAATTTAGGTTTTGGGGGATGCTTATTTGAAATAAACGTATGATGCTGTTGCAAAATTCAGCCACACATTCTGTGCTTGACATAGTATTTTTTTTAATACGGATTGCTGAAGTGGTCTAGGGATTTGCATTCTAGGCTGCATTAGTGAATGTGCACCATGAGCCAGAGATCATAGAGAAAATGCTAGGTCAGAATGGGGTAACTAACTCAAAGACTGAAGGAAAGGAGAAGCTGTGGCTGTATGTTGTTTATGTTATCAAAAGAAAAAATAAAGAGTATCATTTGGATGAAAATGCATTCCAAGATCCAGATAGTAGATAGATAGCCAGATGACTGTGGATCTTCTTGGCTGCAGGCCAAGACAGGAGGCTAAAAAGAAAGAGAGGAGGGGTCTTGTCACTACCTGAGATGCGATTTACTCAGTATGTTGTATAGAGAGAAAGATTATTTGGACTGTGAAATGTCTGAGATTTGTGGTCCTCTAAAACAGAGTCAGAAACTAACAAACAGCATTGTCGGTCCTCTGATTTTCCCCTCTGTATTTGGGCATTTGAGTTTATAATGTAATGCTTGTACTCTACTCCAACTAGTATGGATGGATATTCCTGTTCTCTGGTCAGATCTCCCAACACCCTAATGCTAGTTTGTGAGTTTCTTTTCTCTGTTTCAGCTTTATGAATTTTGACTTGACTAGTTTAGATTTATGCCATTATGTTGAGGGCTCTTCCCACATTCATCTCAAAACTACAGGAGATTTTCTCATTTTTTTTCTTCTTCTTTTATTTAAGAAATAAATTAAGTACCTAGGGTATTGCAGGAGATGAGATGACTATATCTGGCCCAGTATATTAGAGTCAATCTTTATGTACACATTCTACAGAGTTTACAAGCAGAATTACCCTGAAGGCATTGCCCTTGTGTTAAGGTCCTTATTTATTACCCAAGAATGAGACTGTGCTCACTGGAAACCGCTCTTTTTAAAATAAATAAAACCAGCAAAAAGTTGAGACTTGAAAATTTTAGATTAGGAAGAATAATTTAGTCTTAGCTCATTTTCCTATTCCGTTCATTGTGATGTGAGGAAAGAAAAGTGGAAAGCTATCCCTGATTTTCACTGAGAATGTTATAGCATTTTTACAGCTTATAATTTTTTGGAGAGTGGTGAAGCAGAGACAATCTGTGGAAATCTCACGCTCTAGAATACAGTAAACTTTCACTTATCTATATTTCGAACAGAAAGCTCCAGTAACCCAAATATTCTTAAACATTATTTCAGAGTGATTATTGAGTTGACAGTGATAATGCAAGCCTGCACTTTAGGTCATTTGGGTACGCCTGAAGATGAACTATTATTTAAAGTGGTTTTAATGTGCCCTTTGGGCATCCAGGTGGTGCAGTGGATAGAATGCCAGGCCTGGAGTTATGAAGACTCATCTTCATGAGTTCAAAGCCTGATCTCAGACACTTGCTAGCTGTGTGACCCTGGGCAAGTCACTTAACCCCATTTGCCTCAGTTCCTCATCTGTAAATGAGCTGGACAAGGAAATGGCAAACCACTCTAGCATCTTTGCCAAGAAATGGGGTCATGAAGAGCCAGACACAACTGAAACAACTGAACAACAATGATGTTGAATTTATTGGATTGCAGTGCTTTGAAAATGAATGGTCACATATGTTATAACAATAATTTTAACTAAAATAGGTAATTAATTCAGATACCCAATTCCCCAGCCATTCTAGATAAATGAGATGCTACTGTCATTTGTTTTCTAGTTGAGAATCATCTGTATTCTTTAACATTGATTCATTAGACTTTGATCAGTGTCACATAGAGCCCTGCTGACTATCTTTATGCCCCTTCACATGAAGAGAACATGACCCCACCCTCGTGTGTGGACAGAACAATAATGTGTAGTGATGGTACATCTAGTCTCCTTAAGTGCCAGATTGAAAGGGCTACATTCATTCTTCTACCCAATGGATAGACAAGGTCTCTGCAAAGGAATAGTTATACTTGCATATATAATAGTTACTTGCTACCACCAATACCCTGGCATTTTGCCTCTAATCTGAGTGGCACAATTGCGCAAGGTGCTAGCCACGTGTAACCTCAGAGACTTGTAGCTAGCAAAGCCGATTTTGTGCCAGCCCCATGCTAGAGTTCACATAGAAGACAAGCAGCAGCTTTACTTGATGAGCAGACAGTCTGAAATAGACTTGCCAATGAGATGGAGGTGGAGCCCAGAGAAGGAAGAGCAGCAGGATGTGGAAGCCTGTGGGTCAGGAATGTGATTTTGTGAAATTTGTTATAATGTGGCTTTATAGAGGTGAACCTTTTTAATGGCAAGATATAAAGGATTAGAGTGGGTCAGTCTCACCATTTTGATCTGACCTCTCATTCCTAATCCAGTCAGTGTCTGTGGCTCAGTGGCAGTTTGACGGTTTCCCAGGGCATTCTGTGGACACCTCTGGATCTCTTGTTTCATCCTCAGCCAACTCTTGAGGAAGCGGGAGGTAATGAATATTGCAGTTGGGAGTCCTGGGTTCAAATCATGGCTCAGCTACAGTCTAATCCTTGTAAATCTATGCTCTTACATCACCTAACCTATAAGTCTCAAAAGAGGAACAGTAAAGCATGTGCTACCTATCTCACAGGATCGTGAGGATAGTGCTTTGCAGAACTAAGCATAATAGAAGTGCGAGTTGGCATTTTCAACCAGTGCTGCTTTCATTTCTTCCCTTTAGTGGAAACTGGCTTTTCCTTGATAGTGCCTCCCCCTCTGCATCAGGGGCCACTCCTCTCCTCACCCTGACTCATCCTGCTGTTTCTAGATTATTACTCTGCCATCATCCTTTAAGAAGGGCATGAAATCCTTTCACAACACCCTCTTGCTATTCAAGGTTGCTGTGCAGGCCAGTCTCCTAACCCATGGTCTTTCCCTTGAATCTGTCACCTTCCCTCTCTAGGTGTCTCAGTCATCTAACAAAATGACCCACGTAATTTCTCAACCTTTTTAACTCTAATACTCGTCTTCATCAACTCACTTCATCTACACATGTGACCATGTGGCATAGTCCCATGTTAGACTTCATCATCTCTTGTAGTTTCTTATAATTTCTTATAATTATCCTCAAGATCGTAAGTTTCTAAATTCTAGTTCCTAAGAAGACTTGTCCTGTCCTCCTTCTCTCCTACCCTTTGCCATTACTGTGACCTCTGATCACATGACCCACCTGTGATTTCCCCCAGTCATCACTGCCTTTGAACCAAGGTCTGCCACTTCAGGTATCACTAGGTAACACCCACAAACCAGTTTATCTACTCCAGCCCCCATGCTGCTGCAGCCTCCAGGAGAAAACAATTAGTTGATTTCACTTACTAAACAATAAAGGAGTGTAGCATCAGCTATGCCCTATTGCTGCTAATTTCATTCAGTCTGGTAAATGTTACAAACCTTTTCCTTTCTCCTCAAGCCCCCCGACATACCCTGCACTTAGAGAAGATTACTTAGCTTCCTTTGTCACTGAGAGGACTGAGGCCCACCAAGGTGAGTTCTCTCAATTCCCCTTGCCCATTCCTCAAAACATAGAAATAGCGTTATACTTACTCTCTTTTCCCTCTTGTTACTGGAGAAGGAATGTAACTACTTCTCACTAAAGCTAACTCTCCTCCATTTATGCTCTTGAGCCCTTTTCCCCCTAATCTGTTCTGGGAGCTTGCTCAGCCTTCTCTTTCATTTTCAATCTTTGCTTCCTTAATGGATCCTTATTTAGTGTCTCTAACCTCCCTGAAACCTTTCTTTGGCCTTTCTATCCCACTAAGGTTGAATCTTTTCACTTGAGCCTTTCACTACTAAATTTCTTGAAAAAGTTGTCTACACCTGATGCTTCCCCTGCCTCAGTGTCAAAGAAGAAGAAGAGGATGATATGGAAGCCTGAAAGTGACAGGACTTTGATTTTATGAAATTTGTTATATGTGATTTTCCAGAGGTAAACTGAATGTTTACTGGTGAGATGGAAAGGATTACAGTTCATCATTCTCACTGTTTTAGATGCTCATAAACCTCTTCTCAAACTTTATAGTCACTGCAAACTGCTCTTTTAAACAAAACAAAACTGACCTAGCAATAAGGTTAAGAAACTTGAAATTATTAAATTAAGAAAAAGAGTTAAGTCTTAGATCATTTTGTGCCATTCATAATGGCATAAGAAATTGGAAACTCACCTCTGAATTTCCCTGGTAATAGTAGCATCATTTTTTACAACTTTTTCCCACCCCCAGGATGGTGGGGAAGGAAGAATCTGTGGCCATTTTACTCTCTAAAAAAAAAAAAGTAAACTTCTACATGTTTTTAATCCAAACAATTAGAAAGCTCAAATAGCCCAAGTATTTTTG